AGGAACCCACCAAGATGGCCGAAGTTGGCTCGAAGCTGGCCCAAAAGGGCCCAAGAGGCCCCCAAGAGGGCCTCCAGGAAGGCCAAAAGATGCCAAAATCACTGATTTTCCCAAGGTTTTTGATGGATTTGGGCATTTCCCTTCTTTCGGCCTTCCGACGGCCCGAGACGGCCCAAGAGCCCCCAAAGATCGCCGAAAGATCGCCCAAGAGGCCTCCAAGACGGCGACGATGACCATCAAGACGCCCACGTGTTCCCCGAAGGCTTTCCAAACCGATTCGGGGAACACATGGTCCGATGGCTTGGCAGGTCTGGCCTCAACGTTCGGCCACATAGGCGCTTCCACAAAGGCAGGGGGCGGCGGTGATTCGCCGTAGGCGTCTTCGATACATGGCATACGCACCGCGTCACGACGTTCGATGCTGCGCACCACTTCGACAAACTCCCAGGGAGCGGCCGGTGATGCGCCGCTGGCGTCCTCGATAAATTGCGAGAAAGTGTCAGGCGGGTGCCGTTGTTGGTATAGTTCCGGGGGCCAGGGGGCCAATCTGCGCCGCAAGAGCTTCTTTCTCTGGTATAAAGCAGGATGCGAGCCCCAGGCGAAGCACTTTAACTGAAAAACACACCATGGGCACTGCGCGTGGAACCATCCATAGCTATTATCCGAAATGCAAATTCAACAACACTCATTTCAAGACTGCTCGCTCTTGCCTGCTCGCGAGCCGCTTAAAACGTAGATCCCAAATCCCAAACCCTCGATACCCCCCTTCTTCGTCTTCGATCGTACCCCTTGGGGGCATACCTTCCTTACCTGCCACGCGTAACTGGCGCAGCCCTAAAACAGGGGACGAGAGGACGGATGGAAGGGGGAGGGAAGAGGATGGAGCTTGAGAGAGATGAGCCAGAAGGGGGATAGGAGGAGAAAACACGTGGCAAAACCAGACGGGCAGATCGGAAAGGTAGACTCGAACGGGCGGGTCGGGAAGGCGGGCCCAGGCGGCCAGGTCGAGCAGGCGCGTTGCTGAAGCGTAAGTCCTGCATGAATCAAGAGGAGGTCTCGAGCGATAGCGAGATTCCCAAGTCCGCCGGCCCCCTTGTGGGGCCACCAGGCTGCGAGGCGCGTGATTCGCAGTTTCCTGTACCAGTTGTAGTTTGTAGTTTCCAGTGTTACAGTTCTGCTTCTTGCTGGTTACTGTAACTAGTTGACTGATTGCTGGTTACTGTAACTAGTTGATTGACCGCGCAGGGGAGGGGGAGGCCCAAACAAGACTTTTAGCCTCACCTGGGCGCGTTGTCTGAATTGCTGGGGGGGCTCGAAATCAACACCCCTCACGCAGATCCGCGGGGTCAGGGTCCAAAAACACAAGGGATTTGCCACATTTCTGAAATTCGGTGCCACCCCTCACGCAGATCCGCGGGGTCAGGGTCCAAAAACACAAGGGATTTGCCACATTTCTGAAATTCGGTGCCACCCCTCACGCAGATCCGCGGGGTCAGGGTCCAAAAACACAGGGGATTTGCCACATTTCTGAAATTCGGTGCCACCCCTCACGCAGATCCGCGGGGTCAGGGTCCAAAAACACATGGGATTTGCCACATTTCTGAAATTCGGTGCCACCCCTCACGCAGATCCGCGGGGTCAGGGTCCAAAAACACAGGGATTTGCCACATTTCTGAAATTCGGTGCCACCCCTCACGCAGATCCGCGGGGTCAGGGTCCAAAAACACAAGGGATTTGCCACATTTCTGAAATTCGGCGCCACCCCTCACGCAGATCCGCGGGGTCAGGGTCCAAAAACACAGGGGATTTGCCACATTTCTGAAATTCGGTGCCACCCCTCACGCAGATCCGCGGGGTCAGGGTCCAAAAACACAGGGGATTTGCCACATTTCTGAAATTCGGTGCCACCCTTCACGCACATCCATCGCAAGGCGTGGTAACCCAAACTGCGAGAACTCCCTCGGCCCTTTAATCGCAAGGTGTGGTAACCAAGCCCGTAAACCATACACGTCTTACCAATCGCCAGGTGTGGTAACCCCTCTTGTGATCAGTTGGTTTTGCTGATTGCGAATCGGCTTCGCATGAAGTTTCGATACTGCTTCACGACAGCGCCAAGACCTCATGACTTTGCTCTTCCATGGGCCGGCGGCAGGGGGCGAAGCCCTTACGGATAAATCGTGAGAACAGCCAGAGCGAGAGCGCGACTCCTAGCGTCGAGGGCGCGGCGTCTGAATAGATTGCGAAGAAGTACCACGCGAGAGCCCGATTCTTGCATAGATTCTGAGAACGTTTCTCGCGCAAGCGCAGATTGTGAATACAGTTTGAGGAAGCATAAGACGAGAGCCGATCTAGTGGTTCGGGGGTCAAGGGCCAAGGGCCAAGAAACAAGATGCGAGCTCCGGGGGGAACATTTCAATTGGAGGAACACAGGGTGCACCAGAGGGTGGGGACACCAACAAACTATTCTTCCAAATGGAAACTTAGCAGCAGCAACAACAACAGCGGCAACTACAAAAACAACAGCCATGTTCAGACTGTTCACTCTTACCTGCTCGCGTGCCATTCAACACGCATGTCCCGAACCCTCGATACCCGCCCTCTTCGTCTTCGATCGTACTCACTTAGGGGTATGTCTTTCTCAGCTGCAACGTCTACTTCGTGCGGCCCCTAAGGCAGGGGGAGAGAGGACGGATGGAAGATGGAAGGAAGGGACAAGGGGTAGGGAGGAGGATGGAGCTCGAGAGAGATCAGCTGTAAGGGGGCTAGGAGCAGGAAACATATGGCAAAACCACACGGGCAGATCAGGCGGGTAGACCCTAACGGGCGGGTCGGAAGGCGGTCCCAGACGGCACGGTCGAGCAGGGGAATTGCTGAAGCGTGCGTCTTGTATGAATCGAGAGGAGGTCTCCAGCGATCGTGCGAAACCCAAACAATGGTAAGGAAATCCACAGCGAGAGCGTGATTCCTGAGTGTCGAGGGAGCGGCGTCTGAATCAATTGCGAGAAGTCCCACGCCTGATCGCGATTCCTGCAGAAATTGTGAGAAAGTGCCGCGCGAGAGCGCGCCTTGGGAATCAATTGTGAGGACAGGCGGGAGACGTTGTTGTTGTAAGCCTGGGACCAGGGGCACAGTTTGGGGGCACCACATTTTCTCTTGTAAAAAAACACGGCGTGAGCCCTGGGAGAAGCACTTGGATTGAAAGATACAATTGGTACTAGAGAGGATGGATCAACAATTATTCTTCATTAGAAATGCGAATTCGACGACAACAACAACAATCACAATCATCTCAAGACTGCTCGCACTTGTCTGGTCCCCTGATCCCAGAGCCTCGATACCCGCCCTCTTCGTCGTCGATCGTACCCCCTTAGGGGTATATCCTTCTTACCTGCAACGGATATTTCGTGCAGCCCCTAAGGCAGGGAGAGAGAGGACGGATGGAAGGAAGGGACAAGGGGCAGGCGGGTTGCTAAAGCGTGCGTCTTGCATGAATCGAGAGGAAGTCTCGAGCGATAGCGAGACTCCCGAATAAATCGTGAGGAAATCCACAGCGAGAACGTGATTCCTGAGTGTCGCGGGCGCGGCGTCTGAATGAATTGCAAGGAAGTCCCACGCGAGGAGCGATTTCTGTATAAAGCGTGAAGAAGCTTCGCGCCAGAGCGCGATTTGCGAATAAATTGTGAAGACTTATGAGGCAGGGGCTGTTGCTGTTGTAAACCGGGGGCCACGGGTACAGTTTGGTGACACCTCACTTTCCGTTTAAAAGACAAGGTGCGAGCCCCGCTAGAAGCACTTAAAGTACAAAATACAATGGTTACCGGAGAGAGGGGATCAACAGTGGTTCTTCTTGCAAAATGAAGCCTCAACAGCAGCAACAACAACAAGAGCAAACAAAAAAACAACAACAACAACAACAACAACAACAACAACAACAACAACAACAATAACAACAACAACAACAACAGCAACAAAAACAGCAACAACAACGAGCACAACAACAGCACCAGCAGCAGCAGTAACAGCAACAACAACAAGAAAACAACGCGCGTTGGAGCCCTGTGCCCGCCAACCTTGGTCCCGAGCTCTGTAATAGATGGCAACGAGCGTGGGAGCCCCGTTCCACAGTTCGCACCCGCCCCCTCAGCAGCAAGCAACAAGCAACCACGGTGGTCACACAACGGCATACAAGCAACAAGCAACAAGCAACAAGCAACAATGATCAACCGCATCGTCACCATCATCAGTATCAGCATCAGCATCATCATCATTATCAGCAGCAGCTGCTGCATATGCATCTGCATCTGCATCTGCCATCTGGATCTGCATTTGCGTATGCATCTGCAGCTGCATCAGTATCATCATCTGAAGTATCATCATCAGTAGCAGCAGCATCAGCATCATCATTAGAAGAATCATGAGCATCAGCATCGTCATCGTCATCGGAATGACCATCATCACCATCATCATCAACATCAGCGTCGTCATCATCACCACCATCAGCAACACCAGCATCAGAATCAGAATCAGCAGCAGCATCAGCATCAGCATCACCACCATCCGCATCATCATCATCATCCTCATCATCATCATCATCATCATCATCATCATCATCATCATCAAGATCATCAACAGCATCAACAGCATCATCATCACCAACATCAGTATCATCATCATCAGCAGCAGCATCTCCATCCCCTGCCTTCTACCACGTCCACTTCTCTGCCGACTCAGCCTCCTATCATCCCACGCTCATAGTCTTCCTCTGCCTCCTCCTCCTCATCGTCGCCTCCGCGTCCACCTCGTCATCCTCCTCCCCATTGGAATGCGCATCATCTGCCTGCTCCTCCTCCTCCTCCTCCTTCTCATCCCTCCTGCTCCCTCCTCCTGCTCCCTCCTCCTCCTCCTCCTCCTCCTCCTCCTCCTCCTCCTCCTCCTCCATCTCCTCCAGTCTGGCGTCGCCCCATCCTGCCGCGCCCAAGGAGCCGCAGAGCGCGCGCGGCCTCGAGGTGGCCGCCCCCCGAGGCGATGGCCTTGCCCACGCTGATCGCGGGCAGCTTCGCCATCTCCCTCACCCTCCTGGGGACGGTGCTGCTTTGAACGCAGGCAGTCCACGCCCAGCTCACGCCCGTGCGATCTCTCGACCATGCCGTGGCCAGCGTCCGCCGCCACGCCGCAGGTCACGAGCACCGCAGGCTCAGGCAAGAGCGACGCAACGTGACAGGCCACGAGTGCCAAACGTCTGCCGCGACGCCAGCAGGCACGAGTGCCTCTCCCTCCTGGGACACGCTCACACTGGCTGCACGGGACCCCTGTCCAACCTTGAAGACTTCTCCACCTCCTTCATCCACTACCCCTCCCCCTCCCTCCACTCTTCTTACTAGTATCCCTCCTCCTCCTCCTCCTCGCACCCCAGGCCCCTCTCTCCCGCTCCCCTCCTCCTCACGCTCCATCCCCACCATCCATCCAACCAAGTGAGGAGGGGTAAAAGATGAGGCATGAGGAAGAAGGGAAAAAGAAGAAAGGAACGGGGGACAGGGAGCAGCGAGGAAGGTGGCAGCATCGTGGAGTCCTATTCCCTTTAGCTGGGAAGCTGGCAATGTTCATCATCTGGACGTGGACGATCTGGAAGCTCACTCGGGGCATATCGACTGTCTCGTGGAGATTTGCCCGCTTGCCCCTTCTACTGAACGTGGTGGGTAGCTGGACTTGATGGGTGACGGGTATAGATTCGTAATTGGCTGATGGGGGACAAGATGGACTTTCCTGGGAAAGACAGAAAGTTTGGGCTTGGATTCGGGAGGGTAAAATTAGAAGTTCGAACTCGGAAACCTAAAACATCACGAGTTCAGAAAAAGTTCAAAGTCAAAACAACGTCCAGGGGAAATTCGAGAAACAAAGATTCAAATGCTTTAACGGAGTTCGGGCAAAAAATAAAAACAACTTGACCAAATCCGAACCGGGTTTTTCAAAGTTCGGAAAAGACCGGGATCAGTTTGGGAAAAAGTGCGGAAACCGTTCGAAACCAACTCGAAGTTCACGAACAGTTCGCACGCGCTCCAGATAGTCGGTACTTCTTCGCCGCCGAACGTCGTCAGAGCGTTTAGGAAATTCAGGACTGCAACAACGTTCATTTTGAGCTTTGCAAAACATTGGCCTCGAACTGCCTCCAGGCATTGCTTATTCAAACATAAGGCCCGTTCCAACCCCATCAGCCACTTGCAAATATAGATGTATTGAGCCTGCGTGTTGCCTCCTGATGATTGTTGGCGTTTTGGTCGCCCTCATCCTCCATCCCCCCCCTGTCGCACGACCAGGCGTGTCGTCAGGGCAGGCTGGACGCTTCGCCTGCGCATTCCTCAGCGCCGACGATCGTCAAGCTTGAAAGCGCCATCAGTTACACTTGTGGATGCCACGACAATGGACACTCTAACAATCCTATCGTTAAATTAAACATGTGTAAAATGTGTAGAACATGTTCTGAAACATGTTCAAACATGTTTTCATGTGTTTAAAACATGTTTGAAACATGTGTTAGACATCTGGAAATTATTTGGCAGCATGCTTCCTCTCCATTAACCGACTTGCACAAAATTACACGCACAGAGGGCGGTGCGGTTTCAAGACGCGGCTCTCGTCTGCAACGGCCGGCACGAAGTCAACAGGTGTGCAACCTTTGCACGGATGGAGGGCGACTCCTTCTCGAAGCGGGGCTACCGCTGAAGCCTTCCGTGATCTTTTATGCACCAGACTCATATCTGTAGCGCTCATTCCCAAGGTTGGCACTTTCGCTTTGAGGTCCGCAAGGGGCCGCACATGATCGCACATGCCGCACCCGTGCGACACTGCAGAAGCCTCAACAGCATGGCCGCACATGCGCGCACATGGCACACAGTCCCGTACACAGTCGGAGGCACAGTCTGGACAGACTCCGGAAGTATAAACGCACATGCCCGCACATGCCGCAGATTCGAAGATTCGGATAGGGGACAGGGAGACAATTGGGAAGAAAAAAGGCCAGATGAGACAGGAATGAGGGAAGGAGTGAAGGAAAGGAGGGATGCGGATGTGGCTGGCCTTCAGGCGGCAACACCATATCGAAACAGGGGACGTGGCTAGCGACAGTACCAATCGAACAAAGTGATGTGGCCAGCGCTCGGATGAGAGGATGTCTCAGGCGTGAATGGCCTGATCCCCTCAGCTCAAGGAACCTCGGAACCCAGAGTTGCCAGGATGTCTCAGGCGCGAGGCAGTGGCTGGACCACCTGAGCGTAGGGCATCTCGGAACCCAGAATCGCGAAGACGCCGCAGGCGAAAGTCATGGGGCAGGGCACCGCCGAGATCAGAGCTGCGAGGACGCCTCAAGCGGAAGTGGCAGGACCACCTCAGCTCAGCGAATCTCGGAACCGAGAATTGCGAGGAGGAGGAGGAGGAGGAGGAGGAGGAGGAGGAGGGAGGAGGAGGAGGAGGAGGAGGAGGAGGAGGGAGGAGGAGGAGGAGGAGGAGCCTCACCACCTCGGCTCAGGGAATCTCGGAACCCAGAACGGCAAGGATGTCTCAAGCGAAAGCGGCCGGACCACCGCGAGGCAAGGCATTTCAGAGATGAGAACTGCGAGGACTTCTCAGGCAACAATGGCTTGATCACCGAAGCTCAGGGCATCTCGGAACCCAGAGTTGCGAGAGTGTCTCAAGCGAACGTGGCAGGACTTCCTCAGCTCAGGGCATTTCCCAAGTCAGAATCGCGACGGTGTCTCAGGCGAAAGAAAATGGCATAACCACCTCAGCTCTGGGCATTTCCGAGGTCAGAGTTGCGAGGCGATAGTGGCTGGACCACCGTTCCAGCGATCCGTCCCTGGCGGTGAACGCGGGCAGCGCAAGCGCTGCGCGTGCCTGCGCAGTGCTTGAGCGGGGCGCTGGATGAATCGGGGCCGCTCCCGGCCTGGCCAGCCCCGGCTTTCTTGCACGCCCGCAGATGCCCCGAACAGCCGCGCACAGCATTTGCGCGGGCCGAGCTCGCTGGCAGCCGACCCAGGCAACCGACCCTGCTGTAAAGATGACGGACGACCCTGTGCGTCTCCAGGAGGTCGACGCGCAACTCCTTGAATCCCGTCTCCTCGGAGCCCAGGGCTCCGAGGGTGCCTCACGCGAAACGGGCCAGAACACCTCAAGAGCCGCACGGGGCAAATCACCTCAAGTCAAAGCATCTCGGAACCGAAAACTCCGAGGATGTCTCACGCGAAACTGGCCAGAGCACATCGAGAACCGCATCTTGGGTCCGAGGCGAAACGGGCCACAGCACCTCAAATCAGGGCATATCGAAGCTCAGAGCTCCGAGGGTGTCGCACGCGAAACGGGCCGGAACACTTCGAGGATCGCATATTGGAGCCCAGATCCGTAAAGGATGTCCCAAGCGTCTCGGGGCAGACCACCTCAAGCAAAAGCATCTCGGAGCCTTGGGTTCTGGGGATGTCCCACGCGAAACAGGCCTCCTCCTCGACCTCTTTCTCCTCTCCCTCTCCCTGGATGCTCTTCGCCAGCATGCCGTCCGAGATGCTGGTTGCGAACGCCTGCTCCTCCTCGTCCTCATCCATGTCCTCCCCCTCCGCCTAATCCCTTCCCATCCATATGATTCCCTTCCTCCCCTCCTCCCCCCTCCTCCTGCTCCTCAGGCCGAGCCAAGCCAGCGTGCGAGAGAGAATTTTGAAGAGGGCACGCCATCACGCTCTGCACGGCCACTAGACGACAAAGGGTGAAGCACATAGGACCTGACTCGCGGGCGAGGGAAGCACTCCCGTCAGGGGGCAAGTCAAGAGCACAAACTCTCTCAGCATGTATGAAACCGGATCCCCTCATGGCCGCGGGAAGGGTTGGAAAGCCCTGGCTGGCCCCGAGAAGCTCTGCGAAGGCCACGAGGCATTGGAGGCACTTCCAGGGATCCACGACAGCTCCGAGGGCATGTGCGGGCATGTGTGTGGCCATGTGCGAACATGTGCGGACGCGCACTTCAACGCATGTGCTTGCATGTGTGGGACCGCGTGGTCATCCGCAGGGAGATTGCACAAGCATGTGCGTGCATGTGCCGCTGGTAGATCTGCGATAATATCACTCCTTCCGATATGTGCGGGCTTTTGCAGACAAAGGATGCACCAAACACAGCGCACACGATCCTCCACATGCGCGGGCGCGCATGCACAGTAGGATCTCCAACCCAGAAGTCCCGCACATGCTGGGCACATGCCAGGCACATGTCGCGCACACGCACGCACATGTCAGCGCAAAAGCAGCAGCGGAGTCAGCGGCGCGTCAAACACTGGGTGGTGAGTAGGAGGGACTGTAACCCAGCGATCGTGCATCTGCCAGAATCCGAGGAGCCCACGGACACACACACACACACACACACAGAGCGGTATGGAAATAGGCGCGGTGTACTCCCACCTTGTCGCGCACCTTACAGTTCGGAGAGTGGAGGCCACTTTCGGGCCTGAGTTGCGTGCCCACGGGGCTCTGTCTGTCAACGGGGCGCCTCTGGCAGTAAAAGGAATGCTTGCAACGACGGCGGCGGTCTTGCAGCATCGTTGACGCATGCTGGATTGACTCTCGTCCTCCTCCGCCCCCCTCGCCTCGCGCCATGCGGCCTCCGGATCGTCTAGGTGTCGCCTACCAACAGGCCCTGCGATTCTGACACGGTGTTTCTATCAGCGGGCCCTGGGTTTGTCCGAACCTGGAACATGAAAAGACTACGTACAAGGGGGACGCGCCCCACAGGACGTGTCAGGGGGGGCACTACGGGATGCGCCCAGGGGACGTGCCGTAGGGCTTACCAGGGGACGTGCCAGTGTACGCGCCAGGGGACGTGGCATGGACGTGTCAGGGAAGCGCCACGGAACGTACCAAGGGACGTGCCGCGGGACACGCCAGGGAACGCACCGCGCGAAGCACCTAAAAACGCGCCTGAGGAGACGTACAGGGGAACCGCCAAGGGACCTGCCAGGGGACGTACCAGGGGACGCGCCAAGGGACCTGCCAGGGGACGCGCCAGGGGACGTGCCGCAGGACGCGACAGGGGTCGTCTTCTAGCACCACTCCAGAATAAGGGTGACCTGCTATCAATAGGTGTGTCCCCCGAAGGGAGCTCCTCATGTACACGTCCATCGACTTCTGCTTCTCGTGGAGGCCAAGTCTGACGGTCTGGCGGAGGTTCGTGACGAACTGAGGAGCGGGCTGCTTCAGAAGGGAATCGCTGCAGGTGCACTCGGCTGCCCTCAGAGACGAAGCCAGGATATCACACCTTGCTGCTGAATGGCCCGAATGGCAACCAAGCACCAGGTGAGCTGCACGCATCACGTCACGCTGATCGGGGGACGTCAACTCAACTCCTCTCCGATCCTGACAGGGCCTACCCTGGGCCCGAGAACCCACGTGTACGCCTCCCTGGCCGAAACAACAGAGCGTATAACACCGACCCTGGCCACAGGATGCGCCTAGCCAGGATCGCTGAGACGGTCAGCTTGCGTCCCCCGATCTCAGGCCATATCTCACAAACAGCAAATGGCGTGGCGAGGCTGCCTCAGGGGGACAAGACACCAACTGCCAGGACTCACGAAGGAGAAAACTAGAAGTGGCGGATAGAGGGGAGGACAGGAGGCAGAGGAAGGGAGGAGAGAAGGAGGGGAGAAAGGAGAGACAAGGAGGGGGTGGGGGGGGGCACAAGGTGCAGAGGCATAGGCGTCCACGGGGACACCTACATACCTGCATCGACGACCGACAGAAACGATCGCGAAACCGCAACCGACCGAAACCGACAGACCAAATGCAGCATAGAGCGACGAAGCGGCGCAGCAACTGACCGAACCGGATCGACCGCATGCAGCCGACTGCGAGGCAGGCGAACCGACCCGCATCGTTGTTTGACGGTCCCGGCGCCAACAGTTGCCCCCGAAGGGCGGAAACAGCAAGGAAGAGTCCGTCTTCACGAGCGGACACGGGAGGGCGCGGGCGGGAAACATCTCCGCGGCCTCGCGGTCTGGACTCCTCGGCCACGAGCCCGTGGATACAGGGCGCCCCTGCCCGGATGCCCCGCGCGGAAAGCACCTATGGAATCGCGCGTCGACCACAAGACTGCGGGCGCATGGATGAGCCCGTGGCTCGGAAGGGGAGGGGCGGGGCAGCAGCAGGCACCACACGCGGCC